TTAGAAGACTGGGAGGCCAAAATTGAACATTTGACTGGGACTGCAGTTGTCCAGTCACAAATATCTATATAAAAAAACCTCTGTTGCATTATGAATTCAGAGTGGAAGTTGTCCAAAATCTGGTCCAGAAAACTGACTTAACTGGGCAAGAAGGGTGTGAGGAGAATTCAGATCACTAGGAATGCATTACACAATGCAAAGATTTAGCAATCCAGCCTTGAAAATTTATTGGGATTACAGAGTAGAGAAAACTTGGGCTCAGATAGTTGGTTTCTGGGACGTATTCAGAATAAGGGGAGAAGAGGAGGAACTTACGTTAAGAGGTGCCTTTTCTGCTGGGAGCAAACTTTAGGGTGCATTGCAGATTTGCATCCAAGTGACAGCTTCAAAAGGCAGTGTGCAATGTTATGAGTGTGCAATTGAATAATGAAATACCTAGAAATGTTGTGATTTGTTTAATTGTCTATTATTTTTATTTACTTGTTCAAGCATGCATTTCCATCAGAGAGTATGGAAATGCTTAATTTGACTGGAAATGGGATAATGAAAATTCTCAAATCCGGTGAGGTGAGTAAATTACATCGGAAATATTCTATTGTGTGCTTCTGATATTTTTGAGTCATTTTGAAATTTTAAAAAAATAAATCCTTTATTGCCTCAAACATAGGATAATGTTGGAAATGGCAAATTTTTCTCATGGAAGATGCTGTGCTTTGTTGATAGGCTCTAATGGTAGACCACTTTCATCTCCTGCTATGCTACCAGCATTTTATCACCTTTTAAAGCATTATCATTGCTTTTTCTGAAAGCCTTCTCGAGTAGGAAACTAACTATAAATAATGATACTATATAATTCTATGAACATATTATAATATTGCCATAATAAATGCTCATACCAGTGAATGCAAATCCAGTTGAAAGAATGTATTGGTACAGCGCTTGACCCTTGCCTTCTAAGACTTATGAAGGCAACATAGTTATGCTTCCTAATGTCATGCTTGTTCTGCTTGACATTTTAAAAAGTATTAAAACGGCTCTGAGTGAATGAGTGAATGGATAAAGGGGATAGTGAAACATGATGAGTGTTTAGCTAAGACGGCTGTGGGATTTCTGAGATTTGGGATTTATTCCAAGAGGGCGCTGATTTTGAAATACGGGAAGCAGAAGAGAATCACGTGTCATCAGGCCATATTGACCTACTCATGGGTGACTTAAAAAGTAATGATTCTGGTAGTGTCAGGCTACTAGTTTGCTGAGCGTGGTGAGTGTTTTCTCTTGTAATTGGTATCAGTTGGTAATGCATGTGCATTTGGTTGGAATGGCAGAAGGGGAGTATCCTGGTGAATCCCAGGAGTTTGAGGGAAGCTGGGCCAGAGAAGTGGGAAGCCTCTAGTCTCAGAATGGATTTGAATTTAAAGTGACGAATCCATTGGCATTTCTTTTGTGACATCACCCATTCTTTCTTGCCAGCAATTCTGCATATCTACTTTGAACACTCTGCTTAAGCAGTTAAAACTGTTTAAAAAGTGTTAAAGTGGTAATTTTCTAACTTACTTTTGGATGAGTTCCTCTTTTAATGGCTATTAGTTTAAAAAAAAAAAGATCTTGTCCAATTTTGGAGTAACAGAAGAATTCAGTTGTCTTTTGGAAGTGTCTGTCAGTAGCAGTTATTTCATAATTTCTGTATAACAATTTTTGTGTGTGTTCAGTATGGCATTACTTGGCTCTGGTGCCTCCTGCCTACCTGTTCTCTAAATAGTATGTTAGTTTTCATCACTGTTAATCTGTAGTTTAATTACAGAAATAAGATATTGTGAATAAACGTGTGAGCAAGGCCAGTAAAGAAATACAGGATAAGAGGCAAGATGAATCAGTTGAAGAGAGGTTTAGTGCTGTTATTTCCCTGGTAGGCAGAACAAATGACTTTTGGAACTGAAGTTAAAAGAGATCCCCATGCTTTTGATACAGTTACACAGGTCTTCTCAAATGGGACATGTGCCATTCTCTTACTTTCATTCTGCTTTATATGTGTAATGCTTTTCAAAACGTCCTCAGTTAATGAAAGAACCTGGGCTCCATTTCTTCTGTGTTTTTGTGATGGTCTGAACTGGGTCATCATTTGGTCTGTGATGCAAGAAAATGTTTTTGAAAGCTGCTTCTGTTTTTTCTATCCCTTTATCTTCCTTCCTTCCCCACCTCTTTGTACAAAGCCTTGCGCTGCTTGATTTGACATTTAATTCCTTATTCCTTCTCCTCACTTTTTCTGTCCTTTTAGCAGTTTTCAAAGTGCATTATCCCCCTGCTTCTCTTGTGAGGCTATAGTTGTCTGTGCAGTTTATTCCTGTCTCTCTTTTTCTGTGATACCGCTGTGTGAAAGGTGAAGAGGGGAGTTGCACATCAAACTGTAACCCTTGGAAAGGAAATACTTGATTCTGTCTGATATGAACAGTGTCATGGCTAAGATGCCTGTGAAAAGTTCCTCGTTCTTCTGGGACAAGAAAGAAGGCAGGATACTTGATGAGGGTGATGTGAAGGTTTGTCAGAACTGGTTACTTTTTTCTTCCTTTAAGATTGCTGCTTGATTTCTACTGGAAATGTTGCATGCTTTTACAGGCTTCAGAGACATCATCACAAGTACTGAAAACCTAAGGTACAAGGCCAGTGATAATGTTCTGTTTTTCTGAGAGCGTACATAAAATAGGTTGTGTTGGCTAGAAGGTCCAGTTAACACTAGTGCTGAAGCTGTGTAACAAGGATGTGGAAGGATGCTGTGTCTGCATTTGGGAATTTGCAGAAGTTGCTGCTCTCGGATGTCATTAAGCTGGTAAAGGTATATTCTGTACTGGAATGGCTGCTTTCCTTCCCTGAGGTAGCTTTACGGCAATGCAGAGCCCATCTTTGTGGAGCTTACAGTCATTCTGGGAGTACTTTGCTGGTCTGGGATGGAAAGGTTTCTGAGCTGAAGTGCTCGTAGTGTTTATGTAACTTAATAGATTCTGTTCTAATAGACTCAGAGGAACTTTTTTCCCCAAATCCTTTGGTCTTGATAGGAGAAGGAGAGATTATTTTTCCTGCCTCTTTTTCTTTCCCTTTTTTTCTTTAACTGTTGTTCTTCCTTTTGTTAATTGTAGAGCTGTACTTCAGCAACCACAATGATGATTTCCAATGTAGTAATGGATAAAACATGGCCTAATAACAAAGGCTGAAATAAATTATTTGTACTTGAACAATAAAAGGACAATGAAATTCTAATGAGGATGGCACAGGCTCAGAATGGACATTCCTGTATATAAAGCCCAGACTTGCTTCCTGAACTCAGAGATGATGGGGAGAAGCACTAGTTCTATGTTCAAGCTACTGTATCATTTTCCAAGGGGCATGGCATCACTTCTGTCTAGTGCTCTGCTTTTTCTCCTGTGTATGTAACAGGTATTTCTAAAATGGACAAGGAAAGCTGAGAATGAATGAAACGAAAATTTACAATGAAATGTACAAGTCTGACTTCTTTTTTTTATTGTATGTTTTCCAATCCTGCTGTTTTCACCTGCAGTTAAGTGCATGATTTTTCTCTACTAAGCAAGCTGAGGAGAAAAAAAAATGCTTTGTAAGTGGGAGAGTAGTGTTGTAAAATAATTTAAAAGTCAAAACAGGAAGGTTATGGGCTGGTGCAATACAAGTCAATAAGAGAATCTGACATGTTGGCAATGTCCATTTAAGACATCCTTATTTTTAATGTTAACGGTTGAAGACATGATGGTGGTTGGCATTCAGCTTGCCATTCCTTTAGTCCTTTTTTTCTGTGGTGAAGATATCCTGTAGAGGGAAGGTGTTGAGATGTGCTTCATGATTACAAAAGGGAGGCTTTCCATTTGATTGATGAGGGAAGGGATGCAGAGGTGCTTATGGGAGATGCGGGAGATGAAGCTGAGGCAGAAGTGGGTGGTGTAGAGATGCACTGGCTTAAAATGTTTTGGGACAGGGTTGTAGAACTGTAGTAATTTAAAGAGAATTTGATCTTTGTTTTGATGTGAAGGCAGTGGCAGTAGAGAGTTATGCATAAATGCGGCAAAGGGAGGTTGCCCAAGCAAAATGTCTGAAGCTCTGTAAATCTTAGTAATGATTGCTTGCATCGTGTCCAGGCTTACTTAGCTTGAATAAAGAGATGGACAGAACACCACTAATAGCTTCAAAAGACTGTGAAGGCAATCCTGGACATACTGTGTAAAGGGAAAGGTTAGAGTTGTTCTGCACATGGGGATGTTCTGAAAGTGCTGAGACAAAATGCCACATTCAAAACAAAGTGGTAACTTGGACAAATTTGGGATATACAAAGCTATAGGAGTCTGAATAATCAGTTTCTAAAATACTGTGTGCAAATTGATACATGGGGATATTCTGAATGGGCTGAGACAAAATGCCACATTCAAAACAAAGTGGTAACTTGGACAAATTTGGGATATACAAAGCTATAGGAGTCTGAATAATCAGTTTCTAAAATACTGTGTGCAAATTGATATGACCTATGCTAACCCCATCTAGAGGAACAGTAACAAGTAGTATGCATCCCAAATTCCCATGTTAGTCATATTAGCCAGATGGTTAGGGGTGTTTCCTTAGAAGAAGCCAAGGGTGTAATATTGATGTGATCTTCACTCTAGAAGGGAGAGTTGTAGCAGACTGGCCTACATGTGGACCAAGAGGTTGCTGTCTGTCCCCTCTTGGCAAAGGGTTGAAGTGTTAAATAGCTGTTCTGTGTAATAGCATAGATGCTTTCCACAGGGAAATGGAATTTAAGGTCTGTGCCGTTCTGAGAGATAGGTTATTTGCAGGAAAAAATTTGTTAGGGACTGGCAGACTAAGTTTAAAATATCTTCGCTTTCCTGTAGTGCACTTGGGCAATGCAGTCAGTTTATTTTTTATTTGTATGATCTTAGTGTCCATAAATAAAAATTAAAAAATCTTTAGCTGAAATACTAAATGATTGTAATTTCTTTCAACAGGTACTTTGTGTTGGACTTTGAGACAGGGATTCTGCAGTATTTTGTGAATGAACAAAGTAAAAACCAGAAGCCACGAGGAACCTTGTCTTTAGCTGGAGCTATAATATCGCCCAGTGACGAAGTGCCACACATGTTGGTGGTCTACTCTGCTAATGGAGAGATGTATAAGTTGAGAGGTACAGTGCTGCTTAAAGTGCCAGCTGAGTGGTTCTTCACTCCCATTCCCACTCTGCATCGCTTCTCTCACGTCTCATTTATCTCTTACTTCCCTGTGCTGTCAGAAATTAGTGGTAATACAGCTGTATTATTACATATTCTATTATAAAACACAGTGAAAGAATAATCTGGAGTTCAGTATATGTGACTTTACAGTATATAGACTTTCAGGGCTGGAAGATACCTCAAGGTGCCTTCTATAATCTTTTACTCTGGCATTTTGATTGAACAGTATATCTGATTTGCTGCCAAAGGAAGAAAAAGCTGCTTTTGTTGCTGTCTACAGCATAGCATTTAATTTCTAGTATTGTTCTCCCCTGCCACCATCCTGCAGATAATGTGCAGTAATGAATTTGCTGAAGGGTCAGAAAAGGGAAAAATGGCACTGGGAGGCTGTTAAGATATTATGTTCTTGTCAGTCTTGGAGTAATTGAATGCATCTGTAACATAAAATTTTCCCTTCCCCAGCTCCCAAATAGAAGAAAGACAATATAGTGTATGTAGGAGTTACTTTAGAATATTAAAAAAAAAGCAGTGTTCTGATTCATCAAACTAATTTATAAAAAATAAGTTTATTAAAAAAAGACATGTAATACAGTATAACAAAAGCATTCTTAGCTCTGTTTTGACCACAGTTTACCAGTTGTCTAGCAGAACTGAGCATGCAAGAGTCAGTCCCCTGTGGTGCAGTGTGTGCTGTTTCAGGGGTAGAACTGAAGCACAGGAAAAACTAGGGAGAGTGTCTCTTAAAATGTTTTGGAATTTGCACAGCTAGAAATCAGGAACACTTGTTCCAGTATTATGCTTTTCCAATCACTTGAGATTATCAAATTCTGGCAATATGCTGCTTTTAATTTAATGAGATCTGTGAATTTGATTCAAATCAGTAAATGTTCTACTGATCAATAACCATTGAGATACTTAATAGCAAAGGAAGTAAGAGAAAATATTTACTGCAATTATCAACTCTGGGTTGTCATTCTTAATCAGGATTACTGTTGTAGTGGTTTGTTTGAGACAAAAACAAACCTCTCTCCTAAACAGACTCATTAATATTACACAAGAGCTACCTGATACAGACTGCAGACAATTCTTCAATAATTTTAAAAGCTGTTCTTTAAAGGTGTATGGGGAAAATTGTGGTCGTTCTTGTGTCTTTAAGTTGCATCTGAATGACACAGGTTTAGAGAGAGATTTCACTAAACTCTGTTAGTGCTTTAATATCTGGGGAACTGGTAGCTTGTCTAGTAGTTGACTGACAGCCTGAATGTAGAGCTTTTACTATGGTGTGGCCCTTGTCCTTCACAGAGAGAGAGAGAAGTAAAACAAAAGTGGATGAAAAAATTTAAAGCAAAAAAGTAATTTTGAGGTAATGACAGAATGATTCTGCTTTTGCTAACACTTGGAGAAGATAACTATGAAGAAAACTCGTAAACTTACCTCTTCCAACTGGCCACAGCCTCATTAAGTAGAGGGTTTGATGTGTTGCACTGAAAAACCTAAGCATGCTTAAATTAAGTGGCATAAATTAGTATTTATACTGCATCGTAATCAATAAATAATCCCTCCCCCCTCTGCCCTGCCTCATCACCTTCTCTTATGTAAAAAAAGAGTATTGATTTATGTGTGATTCCCTGCATTTTCTTCTTTCTGTTCTAGCTGCTGATGCAAAGGAGAAACAATACTGGATAACTCAGCTTCGATCCTGTGCCAAACATCACAAGGAAGGTAATTCTAAGGTAAATAATTTAAGAGGGAGAAGTAACTATTATGTTTTAAGTGGTGTAGGTGAAGAACAACATGATCTGGATGACAGACTGGCTGCTGTAGTGAGTTGATGTTTAGAGGTTTATGAATAAAAGCAGTAGGTTGTTATTCATCAGTAACTGGAGCAATCTTAAGACAATGGGGCAAACTTAATAAACATTTTCCTTTTCATGAGAAATTAATGAAATACATGGTTAATTGAGTGTCTGGATCAATAGTTTATTAATAATGCCTGTGTGATATCCTGATTAGTGTTAACTGATAGTTTTATTTAATTTTTTAAGATTTGGTGACGTCTATTATGGAAGCTTCAAGTAGATTTTAGCAGCTGTCAGTCTTCAGCTTCTTTAGTAAATCTGAAAAGTCATCATATGAAGATATATATTATTTATTTCTCTTTGGAGGTAATGTCAGAATTTTTGTGTTCAAACAAATAAATACTTTGGACAGGTAAAAAACCCAATGTAGACTTCAAAAATAGCAGAATGATGGGTTGAGGCTGTTTCCTACCTCCAAGTAGAAATGAGAGGAATCTGTTTAAATTGGAATGCACTTTGAAAGTGGGAGATACTAAAACCAAACAAACCCCCTATTAGAAATAAGTCATTATTGTCTTCTTTTATGGTTTTGTGTTAATACTAAGTCTCACACACAAAAATTCCTTCTCTTCATTTCTTTAGGCACTTCTGTCAATATCCTTACAGGAATGAAAAGGATTGCTTTTTCTCATGGCTAATTGTTTCCTATACTTAAAAGAAGTGGGTGTAACTGCAAGCTAAAAGAATTCCTCCCTGCTTCAAGGAGTGTTTCTTGACACGATTTTTCTCTTGTTTTTCAGTATGCTCTTTTCCTTTCCCCCTCCTTCTGTCTTCTCAGGGCTAGGGTATTAACTGAGAGGCATATGTTCCCTGTGTTTAACAATGCATATAGTGCTAACTTGGATTTCACCTACAAGGTTTTGAAAACTTCTTTGGCTTTTCTGTGTAAAAAGCAAGGGATCAAAAGGTTTAATGCTACAATGATTAGACTTTGGAGATTAGATACTGGTTACAAGGGAGTGATACTTCAGAGAGATTCCAGAAACTAGAAAAAAATGCACTTCTATTATTTCTTTTTTTGTTCTTTTCCTCAAAGTTTCTTACTTCAAAACCACTGCCTGTTAGGAGGTAAGAGAAGCAAGAACTGCTTCATTCTTTGTGATTTTTTTTTTTTTTCTTTCTCTTGTCGATGAAGGTATTTTAGGTAGTGATTATTAGGATGGAGTGGAAACATGCTCTTTAAAATATTTTAAATTTACACAAGGTAACATGCTGCTCTTTTTAGCCACCTTTTACTGTTTCTTTTGTGTTGGGGTTAGGATCTAGAGTTACGGATCCTAATTCTTTGCCTGTGAGATCCATAGTGATAAAAGGTCTGTAAAGAAACAGAGAAGGGTACATGTTTAGCTTCCTTTGGCATAATTGGGGACTTAACAAAAATCTGTTATTTTGGATTTTGTTAAAATGGCTCTACCATTGATAGGACTGTCATGATGTGATTTGTTATTCTGCTGGCAGCAGGGCTGGATCTCTTTATTCCTCCCTCTTCCTATACGTTGAGGGCTGTAGTAAGTGACAACTGCAAATTTTCTGTCTCTCGTAGTGCTGTCATGAACAGGCAGATAGATACTCACAAGTTTTCAGCTCCCAGATTTTGAACAGAATCCAAGCTGTGTCTCTGCTGGGAACAGCATCTGGAAAGTTGGAGCCTGAGTGTTTGCTCCCTGCTTCTACAACTTAAACTCACATCTTTCACAGGATGATGGAGAGGCAGACATTTCTAGTTGTTTTTAGGAATCATGCACTTGGAGAAGGAAGCGGAATGGGAAATGTGAAATATGCAGTGAGGGATATGTTTTAACTTATACAAGTGGGATATAGTTTTTAGTGTGAAAAAATAATGGGATAACCAGGCAAGCAGTGGGAAGGTTCCCAAGAATACCAGTGACTCTTAGTGACTCTTAGTGACAGGTCTTTCATACTGGAGAGAGAATTAATTTTTGAAATTTTGAGTAGATATTATTGGAAGGAGATTCGTAGGAAAATGTGATAATTTGGAAGATGTTTTACAAAGCCGAAGGTGTGTCACTGTTTCTGTGAAATGTTCATAGAAGATCATTCCTTCCTCCTGCGTTGGATCCAGAGCAGCACTGGTTTCCTTTCTTTTTCAGAGCTACTGCTGCTTCAAAATGCTACTGAATGACTTGCTGTCCTTGCTGTCTTAAAGCTTCAGCTGGGTACTGGAGTGGTGGAGGAAATTAAAGACAGAAATTATAAAAAAAAAGAAAAAAGGAAAAAAGTTGTATACTAATGGCTGAATTTAGTTGCATCTTAATGAATGGTCGAAAGGTGAGCTGTACAGCTAACAAGTGAATGTAACACAAGCTAAATCTGTGATTTTGTTTTAATTAAGTTTTACATCTTAATGATAAAAAAAGCAGTAAAAGGATAGTGTTCTCTGGCAGATAATTCCCATGCTGTCAGATAGTCTTAATGTTCTTGGTATTCCCATACAAGTCTCATTTCACTTAATTACAGATTGCTCAACCTTCCTAAGTGCCAAATCACACTGTGTTGGAAGAAATCTTCTATGTCTGGATAGGATTTCTGGTTGTTTTTTTTTTTTTTGACTACTCTAAGTGAATATTATTATACAAGCTTTAATTAAAGCATTAGTCAAATTTAAATTCAGTGATATAAAATGCTTTCAAGAAGGAGTAGGCTTTTGCATAATTTCTGCGGTAACTTCCAAGAGTAATTTTGTATCCATAAGTTGTCACAATCTTGTGGGTTCTGTTTCATACCCTTTTTTCCTTGACTATTTAATGATGGCTGTAAAAGCCTTACTAAAAACACACAGGCTTTTATTCCAATGTGTGGATTAGTTGCTGGAATTGACATGTAACCCTTGTATGTCTCAGTGTGTCCATATCAGGAATGTGACAGGGAACAGAAGCCTTTATCTTATGAAGTAGCTTCTGTCTTAAATTGTGCTCAGATGGTAACTTTCAGCTTAGGTCTGTGCTAGAGTAAGGAGATGCTCTCCCATGGTCCAGCCTCTGGTTTGGAGCTGCACAGTGAGCTAGCTGCTGAAAATTGGATGGTGTGGGTTCATGTTTAAGCTGAACTGATTTGCTGATTCAGTGCAGCTGTAAATTGCAGTCCAATTCCCTTCCTTCCTGATGCCCTTTGTGTGGCCTCTGTTGTGTTTCTGGTTCTGTGTTAACTTGGACATCAGAAACAGAAAAAAATGTCATCCTACTAAAGTGGACTTAGCTCTGATCATCTCGCTGAGGGATGTGTGCCTTTGGTTCTCTAGCTGTTTAAACTCTCTGGAGTGGCTCTCCATGAGGTCCAATGGGCCTCAGTGCCAACATGGAGAAATGGTAGAGAAACAAAGTCCAAACCTGCCCCTTTCAGTGCCACCCACGGTAGCAGTTTAGCTGCAGTGTGTCAAACAGCACCTGTAGTAATGCCTTGAAGTTTGAGGTTAACACTTTTATCAAGTCATTGAGGCAGATGTGTAATTTTTCTCCACAACTGGAAGAATGGCTATCATAGATCTTTGGTTTTATCAAGTATCTTCTTCTCTTATTGATGAATGGCCACAAAAATACCTTTACACTTCTAAGTGGATTATTGACTGGTGTTTTTAACATCTGCATGATAACTGTTTCCATAAAGCCAGAATAGTGAAAATTTCAAGTCTTTCTGCATGTTGTTTGTTTCTTCCATGCACATCAAACCTCTTTTCCTTTTGAGCTAAACTCTTCCCTTCTTTGGTGCACTTGTCTAGTTCCTCTTCTCATCCCTGACCTACAGAAGTCAACTAAAGAATGGCACTTCTAATTAAAATATGCTTTGAAATTCTTACAGTAGTGAGCCTGAGAAAGAAGCAGTGCTTGGCTGTAGATGGGTGTGTGTTTGATATCTCTTTTCCTCCCTTTGCTAGCTGCATGAAGATAAGAGTTTGTCACGGCTCTCTGCTTATAAAATCCTTTTACAGAAATGGAAGAAAATCCATTTTGGACTGAACATGAGCTTGCTCAAATGATTCTTGATGAAGGAAATATTTTATGATGGAATGATTATCATAGTCTCTTGCTTAAATGATGACTCATACTACCTTGCTGAAGATGACAAAGCACTATAGTAGTCTCTCAGAAAAGTTAGCACCATAGATGGTGCTTGACACAAATGTGCAGAACATAACATCAGCTGGTCCCTTTGCAGTGCTGAAGATTGGATGTTATGTAGAGTCAGTCATTTGCATTTTAATATTTGTGAATTATTATAATGTAAATGAAACAGAACTCTGTCCATATTTGTCTTCTATCAGTGTTTGTTTACCTAAGATGCATTGGAAAAGAAGTAGATGGGAATTAAAACACTGAATGGTGGTGTCTCAAAATTGTAATTACTTTCTGAAAGTGTGTGACTACTCATAGCTCTAAAGCTGCATGCAGGGATTGTTTCTGTACTATATATATGCAGAGGAGTAAAGGAATGTCATTTCAGTATTTATTATTCTGAGGAAAACATCTGTGGCACAGTGCCTGTGAAAGTGATGATTATCAGCCATAAACAGATATGACAATTCGCTTCAGAAATTATTTTATTGATCTCTGGAACATTGCATTTACTTTCCAAAATAAACAAAATTGTTTGCTTCTGGTAAATGGTGAAAACCACTTCAGTGTCTTTGTGAACAGGAAGGGCAATCTCCGGGGAGAATGAGTCATGAAAACATTAGTATAGTTGGAACTTACTGTTCTGCAATTACATTATTTTAATTGTTAGGATTTTTGATATCCAAGTGGAAGCATTCATTATGCTGCTTTTTTATCTCAGGGATGGACAGTCGGCTAAAATAAAAATCCTATTCCAAATCTATGTTAGCTAAGCATACTTTGGCTAGCATTAGGCCATAAAATCAAGATGAATGCAAATTAGAAATGAATCTTTTATTAGCTTCTTTATTATTCTTTTATTGGTTTCATTTTATTAGTAGGCAAACTGTTGGACCAATGGTAAAGTGTAGCCTCAGGAAAGAATATTTGTAATCCTTTTGGGATTCTTCAGCCTGTGGATTTCTTGTCTCATTATTGGTACCATGCATTACTCGTTGTTGAAGAGCTTATGTCTTCCTTTCATCAGACTTTTCTCTATCTTTTTATTTATTTATTTGCAAGCCAGAAAGCAGTGAGACCAAAGAAAACGAGATATGACAATTAATTAGAGGGACAGATCAGTCATACCAGCAGTGCCAGGGGGAAGAGCAGGGGATTAGGAATAAAGATCCATCAGTTACTGTCATTGCTTTGATTTCCTGTGAGAGTGGCTTTAATGACTGTCATAGTGTGATGTGTAATTAGAGTGTTTTTAGCTGTGGAAAACTTGACATAGGTTTTAACATTTTAAGAAGACTGGAAAATTCTGAATTTTGCACAGCTGTGTCAGTGCAAAAGGGATGCTTGTCATTCCCAGTGTTTAATCTGAAGACATTCTGCAAGAGAGGAGTCAAGTATTTGGCTGGGACATAGGTGTTGACAATGTGCTGTAAAATTCAAAAGTGCCTAAGGGGCTGAGTGTGCAGTTCCTGGAGAGTTCTCTTCTGGCAGTGACAGGAAGAAGCTGTCAGGAGGAATCGGATGCCACCCCCGTCTCCTTGGATGGAGCAGGCACAGTGCTCTGCTGCTATTTTCTGTGGCACTGAAGGAGTGGAGTCCAACTTCAGGAGGTTTTTAGTGGTTGTTAAAACTGCCTCCTGCAGACATTCACCTGCACTTTGTGTGTGTCTGCATTTGCAAGTTGTAATTTGGAAATTTATGTGTTTATCATGGGGCCTTCCCTAGCCTTAGCTTCATGGATAGCCAGAGGTCCTGGTGCTGAGCTTTCTTAGGGTTTGTATGGTACAGATATCCTCTGAAGAATAATCCCAAATTAGGTGCTAGAGGGTTTGTGTGATGGAGTTTTCTGGCACTTTGGTTAGAAATGTTGGGTCACTAGATGGATGAAGGGTATAAAGGGAAAACAAAGAGGTGAGGAAAACTTGCTTGTGTAGTCCTGTAGGAGCTGTTCACAGACCAATGTATTTGACTCTGATACTTGGCACAGGCTGTGGCTGTATGTGCTCATTCAAGATTGCCAGTCTTCCTGACTGGACGAGCTGCATAGGATTGATTATATATGCTGAGAGAGTAGGAGAGGACTCTAGGAGAGGCTTATTGACAGAGGTGAGAGCACATAGCATTATTGTAGGGCAAGGCATGCAGCCGAGTGTCGGGCACACCAGGCAGTGGGATGTGGTCAGGCCTTGCCAAGCTCTGTACTTATGACCATAAAAGTTTGAGTTTACTTAGTGTCTCTGTAGCAGGACAGCCTTCATGAGCACTGCTCATTACTGAGCTATAGATGGGATGTTTTTTCCGATTTTTCTCTCCTGCTCCACCGATCCCCAAACTCTTTGCCCTAAGCATTGCTGAGAGCTGCCACTTGCCTTTGCAAAACTTAAAGAAAAGCCATTGTAAGTGCAGTGTGGTCCTACACACTGTTTGTTCTGCCTCTTGTCACAGGTTATGAGTGTAGGTGATGTAGGCTGTTGAGTTGTGATACGAACTAGAGCAAATCTTGCAGGGAAAACCACTAATCTGGATTAAGAGACTCAAATGGTGGGCATGTCTGTTCCTTGGAAATGGGTTCATTACTTACATGTGATACAAAGCAGTTGAATATTGCAGCTAACTAGCAGCTTTTGTACTAATAGCTCACTATCAAATTTACGGCTTCCAAGTGTAAGGTTTGAAAGGCATGTTGTGTTTGTTGATGGCTTCCAAGTGTAAGTGGGGTTTGAAAGGCATGTTGTGTTTGTTGATGTGGGAGATGTGGGGTGTGAGCTGCAGTCAAGGTATCTTTTGTGATCCATGGGTTAGCTGCAGAGAGTTCACTGGAGTTAGAAACACTGTCTTGAGGATAAACAGTATTGTATTGCCAAATAATATCAATGATATAGACATTAACTTTAGAATATATGTGCATTTCAATTTATGAACATCTCTCTCAAGGGTGCAGGTTAAATGAGATTACTTTGGCAGCTGTTTTTTTCCTGACTCTTTCCTAGAATTAATTCCTGTTTCTGTATTTAAACAGAAACAGTGCATGGATTTTTCCATATTTGTTTTGTGTTACTTTTGTTATCTGCAGATCTATAACTCTCCCCCAGGAAGATCAAAGCATAATAAAACTTCACTTCTCAGAGAATATTGTTTTCTTTTAAGCAAAACTAATGGCTCAGCTCACTGTTTTACATTGCTGCTGTTTATCTGAGTTTTAGGATCCATTTAGCTGTATGAAAGGCACAGCCATGTATTTTTAATACTGTGATTGCATGATCCTAGAATGTCAGTGATTCTCGAAAGATTTCATTTTAAAAACAAAATAACTTTTATTAATCTGGAAGATAAGTTGATCTCATGATGAAAAAGGTGAAATTATCATGTTCTTCCTCTGCACCCTAAATTTAGTTTAGAAGTATTCTGATGCCAGTCAGTTTAAAAACCAAACATCAATAGATTCTGCCACTATGTATTAGAATTACCCCTTTCCTGTGAAACTTGTATTTAAAAAAGAAAATTCAATCACACTCAGTTTCTCTCATCCCATTTGTTCTCCCAAATACCTTTTCCTCTGGCTCTTAATTTAATTGTAGTTACGTCTAAGCAATTCTCTTTCAAATGGAAGATGAATTATAAACCAGGCAACCTTTTGTGCCCTCCTGACAAAGTGCAGCCTGTGCTTTTTCTTTGCCTTAGAGTCAGATCCAGTTTTAATGCAGCTGTGATTTATCGGTCAGGATGGATAATTTTTGAACAGATGCTTATTATTGTAATCTTATTGGTCATGGTAGCAAAGAATATATACATTTCAAAAACAGTCAGACCATCATTCTTGAAAGTGTTTGTAAATGTTAAGTCCAGACCAATGGAGTAATAATTATTTCTATGAGATTAGCAGCCCTTTGCACACTGGCAATGTGATAACCCATTTTTTAAACCTTCAAATACCTCCAAAAGTCTGAAGTCTAGTTTTGTGTGGGGGAGGCAGAGGGATTGTGTAACTTACGTCACTGTTCCCACCTTGTCCTTTGCAGTCAGTGTAGTGGTAACATGAGGCCTGACTTAAATTCCAGTACTAGCTGGAACCTGTCCACCATGGATTTAAAGTCTTCTTAATGAAATTACCACAGAAATGCGAAAACTGACCCGTAAGGGATAAGAAGAGAGATTGTACCCAAAGAATTCTTTTGTGCAGTCGCCAGCAGACATGGGAGTAATACATCATGTTGATGGTGACTGTCTTAGCAGTGTTGTAGGCTGCCATCGTTACTTGTGCAGGGTTTGTAGGAGAGGTGAAATGGTATTTCACCCATAGGGCTGTATATTTACTTCACTTTCTTAAAATGCCACTAAATGTCACTCTCTGAACTAGTTTGTATTTCATGAGGTGAAAGGTACTCTGTCTCAGTTTTAACCTTACAGATGCAATCAACAGTTCAAATAGAAGGGAAAAGCTCTTTTATATTGCACTTTTATAGATGATGTCCCATGGTGCTCTAGGGCCCATCTGAGCCTGATTGAGAATTGCTGTCCTCTAGACCTCCAGGAACACTCATGTTTGAGGTCTGCAGAGAACAAACTGAGATGGCAATGCTGACTAGTGGTTAGATAGAACCAAAAAGGTTCATGACTGTTCTGACTGATTTTATAGGTTGTATGCTCAAAGTATTCACACTGCACATACTCCAGAAATAATTGGAGATTTATTTCTGGCCTTTTTTGTATGTAGGGTTTATCCCAAGCTTACTCCAAAATGTGTTGACATTTTTAAGTCATGTTTTGTTTTGAATTGTTAATGTTTAATTGTGGTGTGGCCTGGCCTTGCCAAAATTTCACCCTCTCTGATGTTGAAAACAACAGTGCACTGTTTCAGAATTTTATCAGGTGAAAGCTTTAGGATTTTTTTCTTCTTTGCTCTTCACACCAGTTTGTTGAATTACAGGTCAATAGTTCCATAAAAAATACTTGTCAGCATTGTTATTACTCTGCAAAATCCTTCCTAATCTTTCCAAAATCGTAAGATTGTAAGAATTTAGTGGCACATTACTATGTAAGAATTTGTGAAGATTTTTGTGAAGGCCAATTTCAGGCAATCCAGGAAACAAAGGCAATAGCTATAATGTTTCCAAGTAGATCTCTGCTAAGCAGTGGAGATGGTTCAAAAGGAAAAAGTCAGTCCTGAACACAGTTACACCTCCATGTTTAGGTTTGTAAGGAAAGTAGAACAACACAAACCCTATAACCGGAATTGTAAATGAGTATTTGTGTAAAGGTTGCTAGTGTCACCATCCTATTGCTTGTTCTAGAGCATTTCATCCTCGCGAAGTAGAAGCTCATCTCTGCTGCCGCCTGGGACAGTTAATTCTGCATCTCCTGGTGGCCAGAAACACACGACTCAGAGTGGGCCAACTGTCGTAACCATCACACATCACAAATCACCTGCAACCGCTCGAAGAGCAAAGAATCAGCGATCTGGCCAACTCCATGAAGTCAGAGAGGTAAGAGAGAAAAATCTGCTGTTTTGCTATGACTTCAAAATGCTTATTGTGCTTTAGAATAGGCAATTGAGTCTGACAAATTAACAGTTTTCTTTGTTTCCTGCTTTGTTTGATGGCTTTGTTTTGATCCCCTTGCTCAGCGAGAGGCTGTCTTTAGTCCTGGTTCAGCTTCAAGTCAGGTGTATATAAACTTTTTATGCTGTTGTTAAAATTAGTGTGCACACTTGCTTAAAAAATGAAGTAGATTGCCTCCAGGTCTCAGAGTTTGCAGTGAGGTTGCAGTACTGGAGGAGCATCTCTTCGAAGCTGCGTGCAGCAAAAGCTTTCAGATTGGAAAGCAGTCCCTGAAGCATTTAAGTATAACTGGAAAAAACCTACTTGAATAAGCCTGATGAATATGTGTGAAGGAAGGCACAGCTCCCCACACTCAGCAGTTTGTTGCTATGTGCCTGTAGTCTTAACTTTGTTGTCAAGTTTATATTTCTGGCCTTGTGGTGGCTTTGACTGTATCACAGCAAACCAAACAACAAAACCTGTTTGTTGGAATCCTGCTTACCAGTGTTTAAGAAGTATAGCTCATATACTGATTTGAGTCTGTCTTCCAGACAACAAAGATACTACAAAGTGTTAAGCTTAAAAATAGTATGGCAGATTTTCACAGAATTCACTTTTGTCTTTCATGCCTTACTATTTTATGGTTTGTCTTTCTTATTAAGAATTTAAATAAATTCTTGGTGTGTGCTCAGAATGAAGACTTAAGTTTTGCATCCTGGTCCTTGTTTTTATTCTAGTAACATTAACAGTGAAGAGTGCACTATCTGAATGTTGCTCATGCTTTCTTTACATTACAGAAAACACACATTTGTTCTTCATAAGAATATCTTGTCTTTACCTACCAATCATCTCTCCAAAGTTGTTTCTAGCTTACTAAATGTGTTTGCTCTCATAGGTTCAATTCAGAGTGCACCTTAAACCTATTAATAAAATAGACAGTGGGAGCTGTTGCAGCTTCATCAGATGAAGCTGGGTAAAGCCAAAAGGAATTTAAAAGCAAATTAGTATATGTGCTGATCATACTAAGATGGAAAGGTGAAAAGTCACTAGTTGTCAACAACTACACTTGGGAAGGAAGGAAGAAATAATTAGTAGCCTATAGTAAAACAGTGAGTGAGTGGCTGAGTATCATCCCTGCAGACAAGGCTCATGGATTGCTGACTCAGCTGTTTAGTGTATTGCAATGTGATGTCATTCTGAAAAGGTAAGTATTACTGGACTTTAATCTGTAATGATGGAAGGCAATTATTTTGCTCTGATGTGAGTGACACCTCAGCTGCAGCACCAGTTCCTCTTAGAGGGCAGCAATAGCAGTCTTCAGCATTGATGATACAGTAATGCTTGAAAGTGAAAAGAAGTGAGTACTTTTCAGGGAGGGAAAATGGTACTGAGGTGAAATATAGAATATTTTATAAAGAGATGTGTGAAGTTTACATGTGCTGGATATTTTTTTGCGTGCTGCTTCTTAAAGAAGAGCATAACAGTGGAAAAAATTGGACCTGCTGCCCTCTTTCCCAGTCTCTCATGACTGCTTGACTGATGTTGTTTCCATTTTGTGAAAGGATGTCTGTTTTGTCCAGATTAAGGAAGCAGATTTTGTTTCAATGGCATGCTCTGTGCATTTCCTTCTCCCCCTTTTTTCGAAGTGAGTGCAATAGACTTGGGCATATGCTACCTGTTTTTTCAGGGAATCTTGTTCCCTATATGAGTAAATTGGTCTGTTAGATCTACCCTCCCTTGATAAATTTATTGATAAAGAGGTGGATCCAGAGCCCTTCACAAAAGTACACTTAAATCTGTTCTTGTCCTGTTTATTAATCTGAAGTGAAGGGAAATAGGAACTAAAAGTATAGGAGTTAATACCTTCCTTAACACCCAAGTCTTTGCTTTTTATTTGGAAGTTATTTGGTATGATTTGGATGAAGGGAAGAGATTACAAAAGGCTTATAGATTGGTGTTAATGTTCCCTTGATAGAATGAAGTAATTGAAGCTTTGACATGCAAATCAGCTTTTTAAAATTGTACTATAAATAGGACTACATTAACTAATTTTAGATCTTGTAAAATACAGTAGTTGAATCAATGGAAAGAGTTGATATGCTCCTGGGAAATGAGAGGAAGAGTGTGTTTTAAGTTTCAAAACAATGCATAGTAATGCTACCATATTGTATATGAGATCTGTAAAAGCCAGGAATGCTGCTAAAGGGTCATCCTTCACTGGGCACATGTGGTCTTCACTAGCTTGGACAATGTTCCTGAGAAAGTGTTGAAGTTGCTACTCAATTCTGGACTTTCATGATTTGGCTATATTATTTGGAAAAAAAGTGACGTGTATCGTCGTGTTGCAAATAGGACAAAATATACTCCTGTATTTTATATACTGCAATGATGTTTGGTAATACTTGATTGTTCTTTTTCCCCTTTTTTCCAGTCATTGTAAGAACGAGCAGCATATTGTTTCCTTCCGTGGTTTACTCTGGCTGATGTAATTTTATTTTTAACATCAGAGAGAAGTTTAGTGTAAAATGGTAGCAAAGAGGTCTATTTAGTACCAAACTGACATGCAAAATTGTGTAAATGTAATAAAAGCAGCTATGTAGGTATATGAAATGACACGTGTTGGGTGTTTCTGTTGTGGAAGTAGAATTTTACCTTTTTTCAGAATTTTGTTAAGTTAAAAATGAGTATGAATATAGAGCTTTTTACTGCTATAAAAAAAATGTATGTTTTAATGTTCCAGCTACTTTCATATAGTGTTGAATCAAAAAGGAGCTCAGGAGCATTACATTTCATCATAATGTGATTTTTTGCTGTTTAAAATAATATTGTTTTCTTAAATCAGATTTTTGCTTATATTAACTTGTTGTTAATAGTCCAGTCCATCCTGATTTATGGAATATAACGTCCAAACTAGAATTCATTGTACATTAATTTGGGAGAGCTGCTCTGCAACATGTTGCACTTTATGCAGCATTATTAGACATCCTACCTCTTTATTTGGATCATAACATAGCATTAAAGGGGTGCTTTCAGCTAATTTTTTACTAAGCGATTTTGTGGTAATCTAAGTCTGTGTGGTCTTGAAACTGAATTCTATTTTTTAAACTGTGCATGTTATTATCCTCTTAGAAATTTATGGTAAGAGTTATGCTTGCAGATTTCTTTACTGTAGGTGGTTAAAATTAATTGGAACATTAAGCCAAGTGGCCACACCACACTTCATATTAAATTTTAGCCATCACTGAACTAAATAATAGTGGCATACTTCATCTTGGAATGGTGTTTACTTTGGCTGAGAGTGTCTGGCTATTGCATGACCTCTGCAACTATTACCATTGTTGTTAAAGAACCAAGAATTGCAATGTGTGAAGATTTTGTAATAACTTAGATTAATTATTCACAGAAGTTTAGAGAAAGTAAGTGCAGTTAACTAAAAGAAGTCCATAGAGAGATTTCTTCCCACAGTTAAAATAAGGAATTTCTGATCCCTTTGCAATGTGGTGTTTGTTACAACTTTTGATACTCTGCAGTGGACTAGTCTTCAGCATGGGTTTCTGAACATCTGGTACCAGAACTTGGAAAGGACTGATTTTTGGTATGATGACAGTCTTACTGCTTCTTAAATGTCCTTTTCCATATATAAACATGGTTACCATTTGATTCCTGCAGGAATTATGCAGCTAGCTGGTAGTTCTTTGCCTCCTCCCTTAAAATATAGGAAAATCTAGGACTTGCACTTAGGGCTTCATGGGGTGAGATTTGCCAGCAATTTTGTGGGACTGCAATTGACCAATTTTATGTGGTTACTAGGAGAAAGAGATGATTCTAAAACACTTGGAGGATTTTTCAAATGAGAAGTGAATGTGTTTGGTCACTAATATTTGGACAGCAAAATTAGGAGCTGTGACTAGCTACTGTTAACAGAAAAAGATGCTGTTGCCTGTGGAGAACTGTTTGTTCTGTTACAGAATTATAGGACTGCACAGGCAGCCCTGTAGGGGGAAAAAGGAGATGCAGTACTTAAGCCAGTTGGGGAGGCATTCAGACTAGCAGGACTTTAACGTACGTGAACACACGTGAAGACGTACTCTAAGCTGTATGTAGATGGTAAAGCTTTGTACTCAGTGTTTAAGCTGGTACTAGGGAAAAACCTGATGATTTTTGATCTATGCTGAATTTTACTTTTCAGCTTTAAAAAAGTCAGGTTTTGCTTTTTTTTTCCAATTTTTTATCCTCTTTCTGTTTCTCTGGAAGTATATATGTGTAAAGGTCAGTGGGATAAAGTCAGTCTAATGTGAGCTCTAGTGAAAAGAATGCTGTAGCTCTAGATGTTTGGCATAGTATGGAGGTTCTGTGAGGTTGTGCAATAAGGGCACATGAAAAAATACTGATTCAGCTCTTTCAACAGGGCATCATGCACAGTCAGTGTGAAGTGCTGGTTTCGGCTGGGATGGAGTTCATTTCTCTTCAGTAGCTGGTACATTGGTGTGTTTGAATTCAGAATGAGAATAACGTTGATAACACACTGATGTTTTGGTTTCTACTAAGTTGTGTTTATCTTAAATCAAAGACAGTTTTCTTTCTTGTGTCTCTGCCAGTGAGAAGGTACAGAAAAGAAACTGGGAGGGAGCATAACTGGGACAGGTGACCTGAACTAACCAAAGATATATTCCACACCATAGAACGTCATGCCCAGTATATAAACTGGAGAGGGGGAATTACCTGGGGGGGAGCTGATCTGGATTGAGGATCAGGGGCTGGCATCGGTCTGTGGGTGATGAGCAATTGTATTGTGCATCACTGGTTTTGTTTTGTCGGTTTTAGGCTTTTCTTTGCCTTTTTATTGTCCATTAGTGTTTTATCTCATTTAGTTCTCAATTATCAAACTGTCCTTATCTCAACCTATGTATTTTACTTATGTTTCTCCTCCCCATTCCACCTGGGCA